GACTTATAAATGTTCTCCATCTCATTGCCCATAGCATAGATAAGCAGCTCACCTGAACTTGACAGTCATCTTTATTAAGCTTTGTTGCTATCCTGCACTCGAGTTGTTGCTTCCATTTTTGGCCATTCAGAGGGTTTATCAAAGGAAAACTTTGCGGGTCGGTTAAATTTTGCCATCCTTGCACACAACTTCTGACACCATATAGAATGATTGAAGACCGGATTCATCTCTTTTATTTGTTATTAACACAGCAGGATTAATATCTCACGGCGTGGTAATCAACAGCCAGAAGAACAGACTGATGTAAACTGTAGACAAAGACAAAAGTGTCGTAAAGCCCTTTTCTGTTGTAACACCAAACAGTCACTTCAGTTCAACTCAATATATTGTCCATTTATGACTTACCGTATTTATTCAAGTATAATATTAAAATTAAATCCATAAAATCATCCATAAAGTTGGGGGGTAGTACTTTACTCTGATAAATATTTTTACTTGTGTATTTTAACTGAAATATCAGCAAAATGCCTGAGTCCAGAAATGAGACCACGTTGTAAAAATCAGTTGAAACGAGCTCACCTCTGACACTCCTCTGTGCTTCAGAGTGAGATAATAGATCCATCAGGAGACATGATGTGAAAAAAGGTGTAAAAATCAGTCCTGCAGCTCAGTAATGATAACAAATTAATGACATTAGTGTGTGACCGAGCCGCTCCTCGAACAACAACAAACACATGTTCGTCTGTAATGGCTGCCGTCTACCGGTGTTCTGAAAAAGTTTGTACCCCTGAAAAAAGTTTCCCCACCAGAGGGGGCGCTCACGAGTAGGAAGTAATCTGCTTTTCCTCCACAAGATGGTCCAAATCTCATGTGAAGTCTCTGACTTTTGTGTTGGCGCCTCCTGGTGGACTATGTGTAAAATGCCAGAATTCATATGATGCTGCTACAGCTGATATATATTTGTTGTCAAAATACCTTTTAGTACATATGTTGTTAAAATAAAATGAACAGTCCAATYATCATTTTACTGATATGTATAAAGACTGCAAAGGCTGAAAAATCTTGAAGTCTGGATGAAATTGGAGGTAGTTTGAGGATTAAATCTTTTATGCTTTTTTAAGCTCAAAAGGGGGGGTTGTTTTATACATGAGATCATATTATACATGAGATCATATTATACATGAGATCATATTATACATGAGATCATATTATACATGAGATCATATTATACACGAATAAATATGGTATATATTTAACCTTTATTTATTTAATAAGGCAAATCCCATAAAGATCACAAATGTCTTTTGCCAGGGAGGCCTTGCATGAGGAGTACCGGGAGAAAACTCGCACATACACATCGCGAGGACACAAAGTCCACACAGTAATAMTCCAGGCCCAAACCAGGGTTCAAACCTAGGATCTCCTTGCTGTGAGGCAAAAGTGCTAACCACTAAGCCATCATGATATGTACTAATACCCTGTGATACTGAATGGAAAACAATCATGTTATTGAAAGTATTTTTAGTGCCAAATACTCAAGACAAAATGACAATACTTTGTGAATGTGCTTTGGCTTGTTCGTCTGTCTCTTAGCAAAACATTTTATGAATCACTTAACGTATGTTAAAGAAACTCTGAAAGTAATCTTTGAATGTACCTCTACAGCTGTTTAACTTTTGGAATTTACCCCATTCAAGATGACCGCCACAGCTAATTGACATTAGGAAACAGAAATAGCTAGACCTTAGTGAATGTTTTAAGTACTGGGAGTCCTTCACAATGTACTAACACGAGATTTCACATCATTTGACCATAACTTTGACAACTCTCATTTTCTTATCCAAAGATGTTAGTTTCAAATTCTGACACAAGGTGGTGGGCCATGTGTACTTCTTCAGGGAATGCTAAGCTTTAAATTTATTAAAGTACTCATGTGTACTGAGTGTACAGTGTTCATGCTGACTCATGGAAAAATAAGAAATATATTTAATCAGTTTTACCAAAAAGGTCTTGGTCTACATTCTGCCTATTGCGTAACAAGTTTCTCCACTGACACGCAGGACCTGATCTGGGCCATTCTGGTCTTGCAGCAGGGAGGCATTTATAATGTATGTGTCATGTATAATACATGAAAAGGTTTGAGTTGCCTATGTGTTGCTGTGTGAGTCCCCACAGTGCGGTGCCACTAAATGATTCAGACCACGAACAGGTTTCTTCACATTACACAAAGAAGSCCAAAAAATAATATGCCTATGTTTTTTCATGAAGTTTAATTTACACCAGTTGAAAACTTTTAAATCCTCAAATTAAAGGTCTGGTATTCCTTCAGAGATACATGTTCTCAGCCATCTTTCATGTCAAAGTTTTAACATTCAGGCCTAAAATACCATAAAACACCTTAAAAAGTACACAAATTAAATGAAGTACTGCTTTTGAACCCTTTAGAGTAAATTCACAAGCTTGGTCTCTTTTTAAAGCTGATAATCTGAATTTTTAACTTCAGCAGTCATATTCTTTGTAACTCTAACTAGTATTTA